TTCCACATGTTCCCTTACTTGTTGTACAGGAGACAAGTAACAGCATTCTTTCAGTTGTCAGGCACAGATGCAACCTTCATGCACACTTGAAACAAGTTACACTGCCATTCCATAAGCAAACCACATCCATATTTTAATGTTTTCTACCTTCACTTGCAGCCTTATCATTTTTCAATATTTTCACAGCATTGATGCCTTCCTTCTCATCCACTTTTTTTGGACACAAACATTTACAGCATTCAGAGGAATATCACACCACTGTCGCTCCCATGCATTCTATCCCTTCAATTTCATCCCAAATCTTTTCATCACTTTTGTTTTTCATTCCATTAACTTTGCTGGAGGCTCCTGGTTTAGTTTTGTCATCCAGTTCCTCACAGCCTTTAGATACCAGATAATGACTTCTCCTAGGGTTTTCATGTAGATTTTAAATAGCATGGAGAGAGCATTGGAGGAGCCAAGGGCTCAGCTGCTGCTCCCTAATAAATAATGGCTGAAACTGTCCAACCAGGAAGGAGCAAAGCAGAGTCTCCCACCCCAACCTTCACCAGGACAACAGCATGGTCAGTGGTTCTGAACACAGCCAAGAGATATAACAGGATCAGGAAGATTGTACTTGACCCACCCAAGTCCTTAAAAAAGATATCTACCAAAGTGACCAGTGCTGTTTCAGTCTGCGTTCAGATCTGAACCCTAACTGAAAAGCCATGTTCATCATTACTGGGTCATAGATCACTATCTGTGATCCATCACACTTTAGTCACCCAAGATTTTCAACATAATGCTTCTTAGAAATATTGATAATGTTTAGATTACATGCCTTGTTCATACCCATGGTATCTGCAGCATGTCCTGCTAACGGTATGAACAATACTGATCAGTTTTGCCACATTTTGGGCAGTAGGCCACAAGTGTAGCCAAAACCCATTTTTACTCCAGCATGCTCACACTTGTTTATGCAAGCTGGGATCTGTAATCTAAACACTAACCTAGAGACTACCGACATTCCATTAAATGGAACCACATGCAATATACTGATGCACACTCAGGCAGTCTCTAGTCAACTTTTAATTCATTTCAATTATATAAATTTACAACTTCATAAAATAAAAATGAAATATGTACTGAACTTCACTACAGTATATACCTCTACAGATACTCCCATGCTGGTAGAGATGCCAGAGATGTGCTATTATTTCCAAGAGAAGCTGAACCAGTGGCATCTATGGGTCAAAACAGGCAAGAGGGTAGTTTTGAAACCTGATTGAACCCCCACCCCTTTGTATATTTGTGTAATATCAATGTACATAAAAAGGGGTGGGACTTGGGTTGGAGTGCCACAACTGGCATCTTTCCTGTTTTGACCACCCTGGTGGATGTTGCTGAGCTGAACCAAGCTATCTGTAATCAGTGTCAGTGGATCCCCAATATCCAGTAATAGTATTGGTTCACATGATCAATAGGTATTAGTTGTCATGCTTGTAGAAATGAATGTTTTGCCTATTTCAGTTGTGTTAAAAATCTTAACCCATGAAATACATTACACTTAGAACAAATTACAACAGCTGTATCAGTATTTTTCACATGACGGATTTCAACACGTGCATTTAAACAGTTTGCAAAATAAATAGGTATGCGAGTATCCAATAAGTTTACTTCAAAATAAGGATGGCTTATTCGATAGCCATAAATAATAATTTAAAGAATATAATGTTGTTGATTGTTTATGGAACTCTTATGTCCTTGCTAAGAAAAGGAAGCAAGTAGAAATTGTGACCCAAACTTGGAGAACCTAAGCTCATGCCAATAAAAATACTACTTCTACTACTTAAAGTAAAAGAAGAAGAAAGTTAGGAAAACAATTTAAAAGGCACATTATGTAATTAAAGCCGTTCGAAATTGTCATGTTGGATAACCCTTTCAAAGTTCATTTTTTCCCCAACATGTAATTTTCAATAGTAGTCAGTGAGAGTAGTCCCTTCCCTTCTCTTCTCTTCTCTTCTCTTCTCTTCTC